AAAAACCGTAAAAGTAGAAAGACGTATTAAAAACGCGAAAATACTGCCAAAATACCGAGCGACCCTACCTCTGCTTGGAGAGTAACTTATAGGCAGTTTCCTGGATCCCTGTGAGAGATTTGTCTGGGTTGTCTGAGTGCCAAGTAGGATGTCCCCAGGCTAACCCCCACGGAGCTGGTTTGTTTTTGTTTTGGGTGCCCTGATATGGAACATGACAACAGCCTCAGGCCCCCAGCTTTTTTTTATGTCCTTTTCGAAGAATACAGAAAACCTGCATTGTGTCTGCTGTATTTTAGGTTGATCTTCTATTTTAGGAATCCTATTCTAGCTCCCGTTCCCTCATAGTCATAGAAATGTTTCTATATATTGCAGAATTGTCTGGCTTCCGCCCCTATTGAAACATTTGGCCCTTTAGGCCTTGCATTTTTTTTCTGGAATCATTTCTCAGAAGCGGTGCATGATAAAATCTTTGAAATTCTCCATTGCGGGTAGAAATCTATACATTTTTTGCTTTATTTGGGTCGGACAAGTTCTGCAGAAGTTTTTCCAATAGGTATTTGCAGCAAGTTTTTTTCAGGTAAAACAGTATTTCAAATCCTGCTTTACAAAAATTATCTTATGCTTGTTGTAACAATGTTCCTGCTAGCACTGGTCAGACCCCTGTAGGGAAGGACCATATTATTTACTAGTAGTACAGAGGCCTGGAGAGAGAGATAATTATCGTAAGGAGGGGGAAGTGTTCTCAGACAGGTGTAAACTCAGGGGAACAATATGGTGTGAACAGGAGATATCACCTGGCTGAAGGAGGTCGTTCACACCTTTTGTTCCTGGTTATTGTCGGGTGATCCAGTGATTATCATCTCGGACTGTTTAGGAAACCAGGGGGGTGTCCAATACATCAGATTTACATGACAGTAGCTGCTTCAACGATGATCTGTAAATAAGGCCTCACCGCTTTGTTTATATGAACCATTGTTTTATTCATGATCGAAGCATAAATCGGCCTGCAGGTCGTTTTTCATGGAGGCCATGATGGAAGAGGTAAGGGTTAGACAAAGAATGAATACATGAATTTATGAAAGTATTCTTTATACACATATTTTGACACAATATACATAGTGAGATCTGGTATATGGTTTGTGTCCATTCATTTTGGTGATTTCTGTTACTTGAACTGAAATGGATTTTTAAAAGATTATGAATCATGAAGAAGAATAGCAACATAAAACAGAGCCAGAAGGAAAACTCAAAAGTCTGAACTTTGGTACACAACGTCTTAGGAAATGAATATAATGATACATAGTCAGATGCAAGTTTTAGGGTGAAGTAACACTTTGTACATGTACATTGTACAACTTGTCTTTCCTTGTTGATGTAACCAGCTGATACTGCATACCTGAATAGCCAGTATGTTACACCGAGAAGCAGGCTTTTGTATCAGAAGAACGCTCTCAAAGAGTCAGTCGTACCAAAATTACCAAGACATTGTTTGGACTCCCACTTGTCCCAGGTTTTTTATTGTCGGAAACAGAAGGTACACAATTGCGAGGAAGTCTGTAGTGAATGCAGGTGGCATTGTAAGTATAAGTACCACACAGGACAGGAAACAGTCTTACACCATTACTGTTTGTGCAGAGCAGGTTTTCCTGTCTGGAACAAGGACAAGAAATGTGGTCAAAGGAATTTTCCAGCCCCCAACTTTGATCTGTGTGTGTGACAGGTGGTTATTGTGAGGGTGTGGATGGGGTTTTGTGGAGTCCTGCTTCTGTA